CCCTCTTCCTTCAAGATATACACCCCACAGAACATGTAATGCTGCTGCTGCTGCTGCTGCTGCTACTCCTGCTGCTGGTTGCAATGGTGCTGCTGCTGCTGCTACTGCTGCTGCTGCTGCTACTGCTGCTGCTGGTTGCAATGGTGCTGCTGCTGCAGCTACTGCTGCTGCTGGTTGCAATGGTGCTGCTGCTGCTGTTGGTGCTGTTGATGCTGCTGTTGTTGTTGCTCCTGCTGCTGTTGCTCTTGCTGTGGCTGCTGCTATTGTTGCTGCTGCTGCTGGTTCTAATCCTGCTGCTGCTGCTGCTGCAGTTGTTGTTGCTGCTGTGGCTGGTTGTAATGCTGCTGCTGCTGCTGCTGCTGCTGCACTTCTACTGCTGTTTGCGTTATTAATGAGGGCTTCTATCATTTATTTGCGGTGTATGTACAGGTCTGCTTCTCTCAGTACCCCTACGCCGGTGCGTAAACCTAAACCCTAAACCCTAAACCCTAAACCCTCGTGTGCATAGATGCAGCAGTATATTTTTCTTGAATTTGTTTGTCTCCTTCAGGTGGTATTTTAGACGCTCTGCGCTTCTTTGGCTTTGACTCCCACATCGAAGGCCTCTCTTAATAAATATCGAGCTAGCTAGCTAGCTAGCTAGCTAGCTTGCTAGCTAGCTAAGCATTTATCTATCTAGCTAGCCAGCTAAGTATGCTAGCTAGCTAGCTGGGTAGCTAGCTAAGCATTTATCTAGCTAGCTAAGTATGCTAGCTAGCTAGCTGGGTAGCTGGCTAAGCATTTATCTAGCTAGCTAGCTATCTCGCTGGCTGACCAGCTAGTTGATTGGCTAGCTAGCCAACTAGCTGACTAGCTAGCTTGTTTGCATCGAAGGGTTCCCCTGATTGGCCGCCTAGCTAACTAGTAATAGCTAGCTAGCTAGCTAGCCAGATAGCTAGCTAGCTAGCTATCTGGCTAGAAGGTCTCTCATGAATGCCTCGTTAGCTAGGAATAACCAGCTAGCGAGCTGGCTATCTAGCTCTCTCGCTGGCTAGCCGATTTAGCTAGCCAGCTAGCTAGCCAGCTAGCTAGCTAGCTTCAACTCGCGAACTGAAAAGGCAGCTACGCAGCTGGCCATCTAATGAATGAAGTACAGTGCTAGCTAGCTAGCTAGCTAGCTGGCTCTAGGTAACTAGCTAACGATAGTGGCTAGGTGTGTGCGGTGTATGCGGAGTGTCTGTACACCGGAATGCACGGCAGTAGTAGTATTTCGCTGAGGGAGCAGCAGCGAACAGCTGCAGCAGCAGCAGCAGCAGCAGCAGTAGCAGCAGCAAAGAGCAGCAGCAGCAGCATAAAAAAGAGACAGGAGACAGCTGTAAGTAAAGCAGAAGAATGAGTCCCCTTCGGGTGTATGCGCCTTCACCTCAAAGCAAACAAAACAAGCAAATAAGCAAATAAACAAATAAACAATAAATAAACAAAATAAATAAAAGAAAAAAGAGTCTAAGAAAGAGACAAGTGCTGCCCTGTAGATATACAAATAGCTGTCTCTATACAGCTGAGGGGGAGTACACCCTGACAGCCTTCAGTAAGAATAGTCCCGTTTGCTGCGATAAAAAAACAAAACCCCTCTTTCAGTGCTCTGTTTAAATTTAAAACCAGCAACAAATCGCAAGAAGGCCGAAAGCCAGACACACAACTCTTCATCATCATCATGCTGCTGCTGCTGCTGTTGCTGTTGCTGCTGCTGTTGCTGGTGCTGCTGCTGCTGCTGTTGTTGTTGCTGCTGCTGCTGTTGCTGCTGCTGCTGCTGTTGCTGCTGTTGCTGCTGCTGCTGCTGTT